AGTTTCTCCTCCATTCTCCTCACGATCTCGTCCTCCGTCGTCTTCCTCGTCTTTCCGTCTTCTTCTCCTCTCCTTTCTTTTTTCCTTTCTTTTTCCTCTCTTTCTCTTATTCTCTTTTCCACTGATTTGTCTTCGTCTATTTTCACTTTCATTCTATTTCCTTCTCTCCTTCTTGCGTCCAGCACCTTCCATTTATCCTCCTCATTCCTCATCTTCACTAGTATTGTTATCCATTCTCCCCTCTGTCCTATCACGTCTCCTTTATTTCCACCCTTAACTTTAGTCCTTCTGTAAATAGTTCTTTCACCTTCTCCCAGTTTGATTCCTTTCCTTCCCATCTCTCCTTCTCGATTCTTATGATTATATTTCTTTTCCTTTTCTCATCTTCGTCTTTCTCATATTCCTCCGTCCACCACTTTCTTTTTTGACTTTTTCCTTTTCCGTCTTCATATTCCTCCCTTTTCCTTTTGCCTGTGTTCCCTTCTATCTTCTATACTTTCCTTTTTAAGGGGATGCTGGAGTCTGTCTGTTTTACCGACAACGCGAAAGTTATGTATGTGTGCGTATATGTATATTACATAAAAAAGAAAGAGAGAGCAATAATACGATACATCTTTCCTTGTCTACCAGATTGCAGCGCCATCTTATTATCATGCAGTCCTTTATTTATCATTCTACAGCTGTATTTGCATTTATAAATTTTTCTTTAACCCTATCTTTTTTTTCTAGACTTTTAATCTTAGTTCCAAGTACACAATATTGTTCTTGCATGTTGTCCCTAGGTCTCTCCGGCCTCATTTTGCAGATATAAACTATAGAATTTTTGTATAAGCAAATATTATCGTCATGTGACAGCTCTACATGCCAAAATATTTAATTTTTTTTCGTTTTTTATATAAAGTCGAGCAGACGGACTTTTATTTTTGTGCGAACTTTAATCGTGTACAAGAAATTTGCAATTCTGTAAAGCCAATTAAAAGATATCCCTAATTAAAAAATGTCGGTAAAACAGAGAGACTCCAGCATCACCTTAATCCCTCTATTTCTTCCTTCATCTCTCTTATCTCCTCATCCTTTCTCCTATTTTCCTCTCTAATCTCCTTCGTCATTTCTATTACTTGTTTCCTTACTATTCTTTCTATTTCCTCCTTTTCTATAATTATTGTCCCTCTGCATTCTATTTTTCCTTCCATTTTTCCTTTTTTCTTCCTTCGGGTTACCTGTAACAAAGTTGTTTATGTTATTCTTTGTTCTTTTTGTCTATCTCACCTTGTATTTGCCTGCCCTCTTCTTCTCTCCAGCTCTGCCATCCATTTCTCTCCTCCTTTACTACTTAGTATCCTTTTAATTTTCTCACTAATTCTCTCTGGTTTCTCTTCCTCCTCTCCTCTTGTGCACCATTCCAACACATGCTCCCATGTTTCCGTCTCTGCGTTACATATCCTGCAACTATTTTTCTCTTCTGATTCCCAATATCTTCCTCCTCTCATCTCATTGCCTAGTCTGAATCTTGCTATCCTAATCATTGACTTTTCTTTCTTGCTTTTTTCTAGATATTCTGGTCTTTTATTTTCTGCTATCTCTTTATACCATTTGTTGTATTTTGATTCTCTTATCCTTTCGTCTCTCTCTTGTTTCTGTATGTCTTTGTCTCTTCTTACTATTTCCTCTATACTGCTCCATCCTTCTCCTCTTTTTCTTTTTATTTCCTCTGTTGCGTATCCTCTTTTTTCATAGAAGCTTCTTCTCTCCTTTTCCCATTTTGTTTCTTCCTTCCTGATGTTTCCTTTTATTTCCTTCCAGCACTCTCTTGCTATTTCGTTTCCCTCTCCCCTCTCTAGTTTTTCTTCGTATTTCATCGCTTTTTTACTAGCGCTTACTCTCATTTTGTCTCTCTTTGTTTCCTCCCTTATCATGTATCCGGGCGTGCTCCAATCTAGATTCAATGTCCATCTCATGAACCTTTCATGCATTCTTTCTATTTTCTCTCTTTCCTTCCATCCCCATACTTCTGCTCCGTATAGCGCTATGCTTGCTACCAGCGCTTCATATAGTTTTATCCTTCTTACCCAGTCTCCTCCAAATAACCTTTTCCCTATTCCCCAGACTTGTCTCATTGCTACGGTTGCTTTCCTTACTCTTTCTCTTATGTGCGCCTCTTGTCCTCCGTTTTTCTGAAATATGTATCCTAGGTAGCAGAATTCTTTTACTTCCTCTATCTCTTCTCCCTTCCACTTCCATTCCGTTTTCTTCATTTTGCCTCCTCCTTTCCTGAATCTCATTACCTTTGTTTTCTCTACATTTACTTTCAGCTTTTTTCTGTCAAAGTATCTCTCCATTCTTTTCAGCATTCTCTTCATCTCCTCTTCATCCTCCGCTATAGCTACTATATCGTCTGCGTATGCTAGCGTCCAAAATTTTGTTTTCCCTACTACTACTCCTCCATCTTGTCCCTTCCTCATTGTTTCTTCTAGATCTGCTAGCAGTAGTATGAATAGCATAGCGCTCATTGGGCATCCTTGTCTAACTCCTTTGGTCGTCCAAAAACATGCTCCCTTTTCTCCCTTTATTCTTACTACGCTTCTTGTCTCTTTGTATAGGCCTTCTATTCTAGTTCTCAGTTGTTCGTTGATCTTTTCTTTTTTCATTACTTCCCATATTTTTTCTCTGTCCACGGAGTCGAATGCTGCTTTTAGATCTATAAATGCCGTCACTATTTTCCCTCTTTTTTTTGTTTATCGCTCTTCCTATAATGTAATTCAGTGCATATATATTTTCCATTGTACCCCTTTTTTTTCTGAATCCTACTTGTGTTTCCGGTAGTATTCCTCTTTCTTCTACTTCTCTCTCCAGTCTTTTGTTCAGGATTGCTGCGTATATTTTGTAGCTTGTGTTCATTAGTGTCACCCCTCTATAGTCCTGTGCTTCTTTTCCTTCCCCTTTTTTTACTATAGGAACTATGATGCCTTCTTTCCAATCTTCTGCTATTTCTCCTGTTCTCCATGCCTCGTCACATATTTCCCATATTTTTCCTTCAGCTTTTCTCCTCCGTGTATCCATACCTCGTTCGGTATTCCGTCGGTGCCTGCGGCTTTCTTCCCTTTCATTTCTTCTATTACTTCTTCCACTTCTTTTCTTCTTATTCCTTCCATCTCCTCTTTGTTTTCTTTTCTTTCCTCTCTCTTCATGTTTTTTTCCTGTGGTTTCGCCGTTGTTCCTTCTAATATCTCCATGAAGTGTTTGTTCCATTGTTCCTCTGTTATTTCTTCGCATACCTCTTTTCTACTTTTTCTTTCTTTGTTTATGAATCCCCATATTTCTTTCTCATTAGTTGCTTCCTTTGCTTCCTTCATTATTCTTTTTTTTCTATCTCTTTTTTCTCTTTGATTTTCTCTTCGTATTCTTTCTTCTTTTGTGTGTATCTTTTTTTTTCTACTTCCCCCTTCCTCCATTTGGTTAAATTCCCTCTTGCTTCTCTCCTTAGTTTTGTACATTCATTGTCCCACCATCTGTTTTTTATCTTCGTTCTCTGCTCTTCTTTTATTTCTTTCCATTCCGCGGCCTGTCTTGCCATTTCCTTTATTCCTTCCAACTTTTCTTCTATGCTTTCACCCTCTATTCTTGTCTCTTTCATTCTCTCCTTGTATTTTTCTATTCCCTCTTTTGTCCAGTTCATTATTTTCCTGACTCTTTTTTCCTTTTTCTTTCTTTCTCCACACTGTTCCTTTTACTTTTATTATTACAGGCTGATGGTCTGACTCAATAGCGTCTCCAATTTTAACTTCTTCCGTTATTTCCCAGATTTCTTGGTTTCCAATTATGTAATCTATAACTGATTCTCCTCTACTTCCTATGAAGGTGAATTCTCCGTCTTTGTCTCCCTTTGTTCCGTTCATTATTCCCAGTCCTTCCTCCTCTACAAACTCCAATAGCTTCCTGCCTTCTGCGTTGAATTCTTTGTCTTTCGACTTTCTTCCTTCTCCCATTATCTCTGTTAATCCTCCTTCCTCTCCTGTTCTTGCATTAAAGTCTCCTCCTATTATTATTTGCTCCCCTACTCCGCCATCATTTGTGTACTCCTTTATGTGCTTTATCTTCTTTTCTATATCATTGTTTACGTATATCGCCATGATCCTCCATTTGCCTTCCTTTGTTTTTGCTGTTCTTTCTACAATTCCTTCTTCTTCCCTTTCTTTTGTTTCATCTTCGGCTATTTCTTTCCTGACTCCTGTTATTATCCCTCCTCTTGCTCTTCCTTTCTTTTTTTCTTTCTTTGCTGGTTGGCATTCCCATACATAATTATCCGGTAGTCTCTTCTTAATTTTACCCCAGTCTTTTTGTTCTACCCAAGTTTCTAGCATCGCTATTATATCCCATTTTTCTATCTCTTTCCAGAATTCTTCATTTTTTCTCATTAGTCCTGCTATATTCCAGAAGCCTACCGTCATTGTGTCTGCTTTCTGTTCTTTTTGCTTACCTTCTTCTTGCCTTTCCCTCTGTGTTTTCTTTCTTTTTCTCCTGCTTTCTTTGGCCTCTTCCTTCTTATCCTCTTTCTTCTTCTTATGGCTTCCGAAAGCTCTTTCTCTCTTCTAACTTTTCTTTGTTTTCGTTCCATTTAAATTCTGTGTTGTCCACCCATATCTTTTGGTAGCCTATTTTGGTTCTCTTGCCTGCTTCTCTCTCCTCCTTTGCTATTCTTCTTATTTCTTTCTGTATCTTTCTTTCTGTTTTTGTGAGATCATCGTCCATGAAAACTTCGTATCTCTTTCCTAACTCCTTTCTTTTTGTCATTATTTCTCTTTTGTCTTCCCAGCTCCTGCATTTCAGCATTATCATTTTGTTTTCTCCTGTTCCTATTTCCTGCATTTCCTCGATTGCCACTTTGTTCTTATTTGTCTCCTCTATCATCATCCTGATTTTTTCTTTCTTTTCTTTTTCGCTTCTTCTTGTCGCTTCTTTGATGATTATGTTGTTTCTCCTTCTTCTTCTCTCTCCCATTTCTATGTTTTTTCTATTTCCTTCATTTTTTCTATTATCATTCCTCCTTCTTTCCCTCCTTCTCTTTCCGTGTCTTCTTTCTCAGCTTTCTCTTCCAATTTTTTTATTCTCTCTTCCATTGCCTCTCTTTGCTTCTCCCATATTTCTTCTCTCCTCTTGTACTCTTTCTTCAGTTCCTTTATTTCGTTTTTTATTTCTTCCTTATCTTTTTTTCTTTCCTTCTCTTGATCTTCCATTCTCCTTAAAATTTCTCTCAGCATTTCCTCTGTTGCCATGTTCTTGTTTTCTTCCTTTTCTTTCTTGTTTGGTGGTGATCTGTCAATTTTTCTTAGTGTGCTAAATTTTTCTATTATTTCTTTCTCTGCTTTTGCTGTTTCTTCTTCTATTTCTTCTCTTTTCCTTTTTTGTAGAAATTCTTTTATTGATCCTAGGCTATCCGTTCTCCCTCTCTGCTTTCCCAGCTCTTCTGCTCTCGTTGGCCTACCTTTTACTTTCCTTCTATTTTCGTCTTCTTTCTTGTCTTCTTTATCTCCTTGCTGCTTCTTTTCCGTTGCTTTTTCTCCTTCTTTCCCCATCCGTCGGTACACTTATCCGCCTCTTCCCTGTTGCCCATTCTACACCTAGGGATGATCCTACTTGTGGCTCATCCGATACTCGCTTCTATACCTAAAGCTAACCCTACTTACAGCTTATCCGAGGGAGTAGTATAAAGTGTAAAAGGTTTACACTTTGGTTGGTTTCCAAACTTACCAAAGTACAACTACAGTGTACCTTTTACACTTTATACTACTTCCTCGGATAAGCTGTAAGTAGGATTAGCTTTAGGTATAGAAGCGAGTATCGGATGAGCC